GTCGCGTGACAGCGTGGTTAGTAGATAACCTTGAAAATTCTAAGCAGAAGCGGGATCGGCCGCCGGTCGTGTGGAAAACCGACATGACCCGCGTATCGTGGAACACGGGGACAGAGGGAACACGTCTATCCAGGAAGGAGCGTATAGTACTTTCTAAATGTATGCGCGCCGCGTGCGCGCATGCGCCGAGAAAGTAAAATGAGATACTTTCTCTACGTGGTCGCAATTCTTAAAGGGGTGGCCCCCGTGTAAATAAAAGAAGGAAACCGCTTCGTATCGTAACCGACGACGATGGAAACCGTTCCGAACGCGTGCACGCTTATTAACGGAGAATTAAAGCGCGACACACTCGCCGCGGTGTATCTTCATACACGATCGCAAATGGACCGTGTCTAAAAATACCCACGCACTCTCACGTTACGAACACTTTCCATATCGCGCGAATGTATTAAGAAGGGGTCGGGACAGTTTGAAATTTTCAAAAAATCGATTTTTTTTTTTTTTAAACAGTAGTTTGAAATCTTAGAAATAAGATACAAAAGGTCGTAGCCTTTAAAACGAATTATTTTGGGCTATAATAATAAATCCGCGAATACAGAATAATTGAATTTGTATATCACTGTTTGCAACTTTAAGCAGTGTTATAAAGTGTAAATCGTGTGATTCAAATATTACTTTTGGTGTAATCGAATATATTGGGGGACTTGGATTCAATTTAGTTGTGAATTGTAAGAACTGTGAACCGCGATATGTATAAGTAAAAAACGTAAGTTACATACATATGAAAAATGACGTTCTGAAACTTTAAACGCGTTTTTCTCGAAACTAGGTTTTTAGAAACGGTGTACAAGATATCTCGGACACTAACCAACCGATTACCGTGAAACTTGGTACGTATCTTTAGTGTAACATTTACTAGAGATTGGCGATCGAACATTTTTTAATTTTTAACAATTTCGAAAAATATAAACAAAAAACGTAGAAATTTTTGGCGTAAATTCGATACATTAAAAATAAATAGCTGCCATTTTCATAATTTTCACAGAAATGAAAATGTTGGATCGTCAATCCCTAGAGAATATTGTTGACTTTTGAATTTTTTTTGCCTTTTTGTTGCAGTCAATCCTGTTTGGCTGGAATCATGCACACCGATAGGCAATGTAAAAAAAAGTTATGTAAAAGGATGCCGTGAAAAAGTTAAATAAAATTCTCTTTTAATGTTGCTTTTTATAGTTCAATAATGTGTTAAAATAAGCGACAGAAGCTGATGTCAATCAAACATGTACTTTTTTCTTACTAGCCCTCCAAAGTATTCATAATTTTTAGGCCCCTCAATCAAACTGTCCTCCCACCTTAAAAAATCGGAGATTTTTATAATCTTTGAATTGTAGATTTAAAAAAAAATGAGAAGAACAAGCTGAACAATTCGCTGTTGTAAAATCTTCTGAAATTTTCCATCAGATCTTCCCGTCCCGCCATTTTATTCCAATACTTTTAACACCGTGTTCGAATTAGGTCAACTCGCGATGCACCGACGTTGAAAATGAAAATTATACTTTTACGCGCCGGTCGAACTTTCTGAAACACGAACACGTTAATTCGTCGGACACGCGCACGCAATTAACATATTTTAGCCGGTAAACTGTTTCGCCTGATAACATCCGGTCGCGGCCACGAAATCCCGGACAGCCGGGACGCTGTGTTTACGCGCGCAAATGAGAGCGAGTACGATTTGTTCTCTGCCTCTACGTCTCGTTCTCCATTTAGTCTTTTTCTCGGCCTTGATCGCCTCGCCGCGGAGCAAGGACCGTGGAGAAAAAGGAACGGAGTATACACACCAGGGAGAAGCAGCGAGGATGAAGTGAAATCTGACTTCCCCTCTGTTCCAAGTAGATACACGCGTGTGCCTGGCCAGACACTGCGAGACACGACCGTACGAAACGTTCGTTTCTCGATTGGAAACCGAGATTCGAAGCACTGCTTAAAGATTCTCGTCGAATCGAAGGCATTAATCCTTTTAAATGTTTTTCGGTTCCCGGTGAAATCACTGATTAGTTTCTTCTTTTAGATTTTAGATTTAGTTTTCTTTTTCAAATGAACTATACCGAAAACTAAAAGTTGCTTAATCAACCTGCGAGGGATTTTCTACTTGCGATATTTAAACTTTTGCCTTTGCAACGAGATGGATTTCAATTTTTGTAGGAAAAGCTCCTTTTTTGAAAGCTATGCAACCACAGAAATGTTATTGTGGACAGTAAAACAATATGAATACGTCTCTGATTAAAAAAGACATATAAATAACAAGTTGGTGCAATTTTTGAATTGTATGCAATATGCAACAAGTTAGGCGATGAAGTCACAAAAACTTCGATTATACATGACGCTTCGAATCAGAAAAGATTAAAATTCTGCCAAAAGAATATTCGCTTCGCACGGTGATTTAATAAAACACGATAAAATTCCGTAGTGACGATGATACAATTAAAACATATATTCTACGTGAAAGACACAATATCACGTGTCTGATAAAGTTTCTATATTATGAAACACTGTTTTTACAGGCTTTCTTTCATCACTTTTCCCTTTCAGATAGAAAACAATGAAAACAGAAATATTGTTTACACGATATTATTTAAGAGATATCGCTTAATAGTTGAACTAGGCTAACTACTAATGTCTTTCACCTTACTGATGCAACGATTGCAAATCGACAGAAAAGAATATCTTCGAGAAAGATGTCGTAAGAAAATCAATCGCGTTTTGAATCGTATTAAACTTATTCGTACACTGGTTGAACAAACTTTAAGATTTAAAAAAAACATTGTGTAATTGCGAGAAACGTGTTTTTACGACAAACGCGATCAAATCGATGCTGCGGTAAAATGATTGACCTCGACTTTACGCTCCGACACACAGCGCGCAACCGTGTAGCAAATTATTATTACAAGGTGTAATGTACGCTAAAGGTAAGAAAGTAATTTGCGTCACGCGTGAATGTTGGGCCACGTGCCAACGAAATTACAGATGCCAACAAGCAAAATTTCGATTCATCGTTTCAACGCTTTCTTTTCAATTCGATTTATCCTAAAATAAGTCATCGGTAAATCTTCGAGTGGAGAATGTTACGCCTTCTATCGTATTATAACACCTACTTCCTCTCGTTGGATATATTTTCACGAGAAAAGATCTCTTGACAACGTTAAAAAATGAAGATATTCCGTCTGGTGAAAGATTTACGAGTTAACAGATAACTGTAGTAAGAAGCAAAACGCTGACCGACCCAAAATCATCAAGCCTCCATTATTGAAAAGTCTAACGTCACCGATTGCGAAAGGTAAGAATGAAACAGCACGAAGAAACGTGACGGTGCATCAGGAAGATGGGAAATCATTAACCTTGCTTACTCGAGCCAACGGGCCGTGGAATTTATATGCGTCATAGGATATGCGGGGATCTTGAACGACGGTTAAAGAGACGCGAGAATTACAATGCATTGCCACACGTTCATCTTGAGGACGCAGTGACAATGCATATCTCTTAGGCTACCGAAGATAATGGCTCTATCTCGTCGGACCACACGGTTGGACGATTAAGTTCAAAAGTATTTCGGAATGACAAATTACAAAATTCCAGTGTCTCGTAAATAAAAAAATCCCCGGCTATTTCTCCGTCACATTATATACAATCATAGAGAGTGATTCACGTAAACTTGTGCCAATTGGTGTGTCAGAGTTATTCACAAAGTATGTCAGTCATTCAAAATTACGCTGATTACTCTGCGAATAACTTATGTACGATCGTACAAGATGTTCCATATTAATCTATCTGAAGTAAATAACGATGCAAATCGAACATAAAATACTAATACAATTTTCCTTGATACAACCACTTGTAACCATCAAACTTGGATCACCTTATACAAGAGCACACGTATGTACAATTCCAAACCCTCGTGGCATGCGGTGCTATAGCGTGTCCTAAATCATTGAACCATTCAAGGTCACTATCCCCACCAAACCACCTTATAAACGTCCTTCCTTCTTCCTCTTCAAACTGGTCCCTCCCCAAACCCCGAACGGCCACGGAACTTCGGACACGCTATATCTACCATAGGGGTGAGCGGGTACCCGAAATTTCGGGTTCGGGTCGAAGTAGTCTTACACAAAGTCGGGTGGGCTCTGGCGCGTAGCCCGATGATTTCGGATCGAGTTGGAAAAAGTTCAAGGGGGATAGGATCAGAGGTGGACATTATTCGAATAACATTTCGAATAAAATTTTATTCGTAAGATATTTCGAATAAATTCTTCGAATAACATTTTATTCGAAATATTTACTGAAATAATGTAAAGAAAAAGAATCACGAGTCCTTTCTTCACAATTTTGGTTCATTTAATAAATTTGCCTTTAGTACAATTTTTTGTTCGAACATTTTGTTAATCTGTTTGCTTTAGGCGAGGTTTGTTGTCGTTGCAATTAAAAACAAAGGTTCTACTGGAGCAGAAGATGTCGAAGGAGTGTTATATTTCAAAAATATATTTTTAATTATGGTATATGCGTTCAGAGATGTGTAATCATTTTTATTATCTGTAAAATGTTGTACAAGAATTTCTACGTTATCATTTGTTTGTAAATGTTGGTCGGTTGAAATAGATTCCGTTTTATTAGATATTAAAAGCAAAGCAAATTTATTAAATAAACCAAAATTGAAAAAAAAGTACTCTTTTTCTTTACATTATTTCAGTAAATATTTTGAATAAAATTTTATTCGAAGAATTTATTCGAAACGGTGTTCGAATAAAATTTTATTCAAATAATGCCCAACTTTAATCCTATCCCCCTTTTTCCAACTCGATCCGAAATCGTCGGACTACCCGAAATCTTCAGGCTATCCGCGCGAGCACGCCCGACTTTGTGTAAGCTCGACCCGAACAATCGGGTACCCGCACGCCCCTAAATCTACCAGAATCATCCAACGTAAAGAAAGCATGATCTACACTCACCTTCTGACTTCTTGGTGGTACCGAAACCAGCGGTAGGTCGTCGCCATCCTCTCCAATTGTTACACAGCGATTCCGGTTCGCTGCTCCAACTGCACAAAGAATCCTCTTCGAAGCGGTCGGAGTCATCGAAGGAGTAACGATCGGTCTCCTCCCATTCGATTATCTGAGGGCCACTCGGTTGACCGGCAACATTATCCACGGCCACGGACACGGTGGAAGCGGCAGCCGGCTCTGCGCCCCGAGCACCGCCGCCAGATCCACCCGCGTTGCTACCGTTGTTACCACCATTACCAGCACCTCCTCCTCCGCCGCCGCTTCCACTGCCTCCACCGCCTCCACCGGTGCCACCGCTGCCGCCGCCGCCGCCGCCGCCGCCGCCGCCGCCGCTACCACCCACCGCCACGGGAGACCGAGCCAGATTGCCCGCCAGTTTTAATTGTCGTACGAATCGGCACGCGCGACACTACGAGCCACTGCGCCCCCGAACGACCACCGTGCTTCGACGACGGCCCCACCGCGATCACGAAGCGACGATACCGCCGCCGTCTCTTACGAGCCGAGCCACCGTTTCACGTGCAAACCCTTCAACCCTGGGCACCGCGCGGATGTTCGCCGCCTGCGGGAGAACAGTTTTCCTGGTTATTCACATGTTACACACGTGTGTTTCTTTCGTCTTTTGAATGACAACGGATCGTACGTGTTGCCTTTTTTTCACTTACGAGGCTCCCCTATTCCAACCTACCGTAAACAAGCACTTTTTACAGTTGTATTTTTTAACTCGCCAGTACAAACAGATAATTGTATTCGGACTTGAGAGATATTTGAGTAATTGTGTCTAACTGCAACACAGTTAGTTCTATCTACATCTACGAGAAAGCACAATGAGTGTGTTTCTATCCATAGAATTAGAGGACTCGCTTCTGTATTTTATGTAATGCACATAAATAGCTTCAACGACTATACAAGCTTCGAATAAAATAACTTTTGCAAAAACGAAGGGTTTTTCTCAATTTGTTTGTAGAATATTAATTATTGTATATAATGAAAATTAATAAAAAGTATTATATCCGATCTTGGAGCACAATAATATGCCCTAACCTCAAAAACATCAACTCCGCGTATTAAAGTAAAAAAGTATACACAAACAACACATACGATGCCGTATTATCATATAAAGTGAATAGTAAAACTACGTCACACATGCAACAGGAATAACGAGCATTCAATATTATAGATCGGAAAGGGAATACACAGAAAAGAATTTTTTATGACTATTATACAAAAGAGAAAACTTTTCAAATAGAGAGTCGAAACGATATTTCACGTACAGTGTTTCTCGGTTGTGTTCACCGACCTTTACATGACCGGCATCTATGAAATTTGTTAATTGAACTCTGATTTGCTGAGCATGGTAAAGGTAATTGGTAAATCCGCCCCTAACCACCGTTTTACCGCTGCCGACACGGCGCCCGATACTTCCCCTCTATTAGCCCTCTCTGCCATCACTGACGGCTATAACAGCCGCTACTTTTAATTGTCCCCACCGAACAGTACACACACAGCATTACAATGCAATCGTGCCCTACATACTAACACGCTATTGCTGACGGATGCTTTTTAATTTCATTATCTTTCTTTCTACATTAATTTCTATATTTATTCTATATCAATTTAACGTTATAAATGAAAATAATCGACATTCAAAAGTAATTAATATTTTAGTAATTTGAATAGTCTCGACAAAACCGCCACGTTTTATTGTTATGTCTTATCCATAATAAAAGAATATTAAACAAATAATAAAATTATTATTAATCGGAGTAAAACGTGTCGCCGGAAGTTAACCCCTTAACGTTCGAATTGAAACAGAAAACACAGTCGCGCGTCGATCATGTAAACGTGTAAATAATAGCCAAAGCATCGCGCGTAAAAAACTCTTCTCTTTAGACGCTCGTTTGTACATATTTATTAGAGCAACAATAAGCATAAATAAATTAAATCTCACTAATTAGTCAAACCAAAATCAACAAATTCTTACGAAAAACACGAAAAATATTGAAACACGCTAAATACAATACTACGATCGTTGCTCGAAACTGTTAAATCGCTTGGAGTTCGCAAAGTTCCAAGAGGATCAGCTGATTTATGTCACTTCGATGTTTGAAGCACATCGTATTGATTTTTCGCACGTAAAACTAGCATCTTCATATTTTGAACAATTTCGCGCCATTCCTGAATGCGAGAAAGAAAGCAGGATAAAAAAGGAAGAAACATTCGAATGTCAATCAATTCGTGAAAAGAAAAAGTATATATCTGATTTGTCAGTAAAGAGTGTACAGCCTGAGTGGCAAACGTCAAACGAACAGTACAAGATTAAGGTTAGAAAGGATTAGGTTAGGTTGAGCTCCGCGGATAGAGAAAAAGGCAAAGAAAATTCGAAAGAGGGACACGAACGTATCAGTGACGCGACAGACGGCATATAAGGACCTTGGCGGGGCGACAGACCCACGTCAAGAACGTGCGACGACCCCGACCCCGCACAGGGGAGCAAAACCCCTCTTCTTTCTTACGTCTACCAGCCCGTATGTCTCACTGTTCCACCTTTTACACCTTTGTACACATGGATCCTTTTTCTGCTTACCTCACCCTCTAACAAGTTTACTGTTCCGTCACTGGTGCACTTCACACCCCTCTTTCCTTCTACTACTACTACTGCTATTACTACTATTACTACTACTACTAGCACCGAACGAACAGTACGGAATCGGAACAGAATGAGGGGATAGTACACAAACATATATATGTACAGATATATATGTATATATATATGGTATGTATATATGTACATATATGTATTTTTTTTTATGTATAGACACATACACACATAAAACAGTGCACTCGACAACAGAGTAGGACAGCTGAGCCACCACTGCCCCACCAGTTTTATGTAAGAGACATCTTGCACCGTGTCCACGGTACCTTCCGCGAAGGTTGAGCCCAACACGGGCACACGAATAATCGTAATACTTTACGTTAGAATTACACACTACACCACTGCACTAGACCAAAACTTCAGCTAGGCTACCCCATCGACGACAACAACAAATATGGCGAGCAAACCTCCTCCTGCGCCTCGCTGCAACGAATGCCGACTGTCCGCTAGATGGCGATCGGAACGCCGCCCCAACGACCCCTATCCGTCGCATTGCTTCGGCCATACTCGGGCTTCCTCGGATTTCGTTCCGATCGTTTCGCGGCATTTCATTCAAATACGAAATGTCCCGTTGCGACATCCATATCTTTCCTTTTTTAGATAAATATTAAAAATTCGTTTGGATCATATGTTATTGAATATTGGTATTATTGGAATGTCATTAATTGAAATTATGATATATATACGATATATGGATAAAAATATTTTGTAATTGTAATAACTGTAACATTACAACGTTACGTCAAATAAATTTATATCACTTCCTTTATATATATTTTCTTTACTTTTTATACACATATTTTCACGAGTTGAACTAAATACATTAATGGATTACTAAATACGAATTTATTACAATCTACTGTATCTATGTTACCAGAATATCTAGTAACATTTTGAACCAATCACTTTACACGAAAGTTTAACGCGGTCTTTTATATGCTGTTTACAATTTTATTGTACTACGTATGATTCTGGATACTGAATATTCTAATTACTCTAATAAACGAAGTGTGCAACAGTACGTATCATTTGAATTATTATTTATCACGATATTACCTCGGAAGCACTTACTATTAAAGGTTACATATGAAATAAGGTCGTAATCTCTGATAATTTTAAGTAAAAATATTTAGTACACAAAATGTCATCCGGTAAAACTCGTGAATCAAAAAGAAATCCAGATGATACAATAAAAATTTTAATTGCGACCGATATTCATCTAGGCTTCGAGTATAACAAAAAAAGAGGTTGGTTTTTACAACTTGTTACCTCTGTTACTAAAATGAAGTATTACTTGTAATATTGTATTAATATTATTATACATTAATTACTACAAGGTCAACAAACAGAAGATAGCTTCATAACATTCGAGGAAATTCTTCAGTGTGGTATAAATCAGGATGTTGATTTTATTCTTCTCGGTGGAGATCTATTTCATGACACCAAGCCACCACAGACTGTAATGTTAAAATGCATGGAACTATTAAGGAAATATTGTTTAGGTTCCAAGTAAGTAAAACTAATTCTTTTATATCTTTTATACGTTTTAATTGAAATGTATATTATTTATTAGGGAGATTAAAATTCAGTTCTTAAGTGATCCAGAAATTGTATTTCGCCATTGTGCCAATAAAGTTGTAAACTATGAAGATCCAAACATAAATATCAGTATGCCAGTATTCTCCATTCATGGAAATCATGATGATCCAAGTAAGAAATATATATTTATCTCAAAGGCAATCATAATATTTCTTCAACTTACTGTTGTTAATGAAATAAACAGGCTTTGGAGCTGTTGGATCAATGGATTTATTATCAGTATCTGGTTTAATAAATTATTTTGGAAAATGGACAGATCTTACTAAAATAACTGTACCTCCTATAACTATAAAAAAGGGTGAAACACATCTTGCACTGTATGGTCTAAGTTATATAAATGATCAAAGATTATCTAGATTGTTAAGAGATTTTAAGGTAAAGTTATCAGAAAGTATATTTATGTAATACACATAGTTTTCATATATTTTTATTAAGCACCTTTTATAGCTAGATATGTCACGTCCACAAGAGATACCAGATTGCTTCAATATATTTGTTATACATCAAAATCGATCACCGCATAGTGAACATGGATATATTTCGCAAAGTAAATTACCAGATTTTCTTAATCTTGTTATATGGGGTCATGAACATGAATGTCGTATTACTCCAGAGCATATTCCTGAAACTACATATTATGTTTCACAACCAGGTATAAAATATTTTGCTCAAATTATAATGCAGGAGATTTTATACAAAAAAGCGTTATACATTGAAATTGTAGGAAGTTCTATTGCCACTTCTCTGTCTGAAGGTGAATCAAAACCCAAACATATTGGTATTTTAAGCGTGAACAAGACACAATTTAAACTACAAAGCGTCAAGCTAGAAACTGTTAGGCCATTTGTTTTTGACAATTTAATTCTTCAAGATGAGAATATACCAAAAAGTTATACTGAGCAACTCTCTGAATCTGTATACAAGTTCGTTGACAATTACATTGAGAATGAACTTATACCCAAAGCAAGCATACAACTTTCCGGTCATCCTAAACAACCTATTTTGCCTCTGTTACGTTTACGAATATTTTATAGCTCTGAGGAAGAAATCTTTGATGCAAATAAGTAAAATTTAATTTTATTTGTATTGCTTTAATTAAAAAACACGGTAAACATAGTTAATATGAGATATTTCAGATTAGCACAGAGATATTGTGATGAGGTTGCCAATCCTATGGATATGGTTGTATTTCGCAAACAAAAAGTTGCTAGTAAACATTCAAAATTAAGTTCAAAAGAGTTTGGCGATGAATTTGAAGAAATGGCACAAATTCTCTGTTATGAGGCAAATAAAAATTTATTGTTATTATTGTTATTTATTTATTACTCTTTAAATATAAAGGGTTCTTTTAATTAGGATGAAAAAAATTGGAATAGAACTGTACAAGGAGGTATAAAAAAGCATTTCAGTTTGGAAGAAAATAAAGATAAATTAACGGTATTAAGTGTTAATGGGCTAAACGAAGCATTAAATCGGTTTGTCGACATAGGAGATACAGATGCTTTTGCAAATATTGTAAATCATCAGATAAAGAAAACCATGGCATATTTGGAAACCTGTGAGGTTGATACTGCTGAAAATATTCGTAATGAAATTAAAAATTTTAGAGATAAACGAATGGAAGAAGAGCAAGAAGAAACAGCAGAGGTATGTTGTACTGATTAAATATTTGATTTTACTCGGTACAATACAATAATTGCAATAATATTTGATTTAGAGTTGGAATTTATATAATTCATAATTTTCATGTTTATCATTTTGTAGATACAATCACTATTTAATAATATAAAAGGTAGAACACAAACTAACATAGACAAAGATAATAATCTCAGTGATGATGAAAATAGAAATATGCCTGTAAGCAAAAGAGGTAGAGGGCGTGGAAGAGGAAGAGGTAGTACGAGACAAAAACAATCCATTGATGTGAACCCAAGTAAACAACTACCTGCAAAGAGACAGACAAAAAAACAGGTAAACTCTGGTAGTTCTCTAAGTTAGTAATTGTACAGATTACAATTATTTATTATACTTTTTATCTTTTAGGATCAAAATGTATTAGATGATTATGTATCGTCATCACGAAAAAATAATAAAAAGGAAATTCTGTTTATAGAAGACTCTGATTAAAGCATAAATACTTGAAGCTGATTCTTCAAAATAGTAATTGTTACATTTTATATGAAAATAAATTAAATTTTTATATACAGGATGTTACCTGTAACGCAACGCACGATTTTTCACCCACTTAAAGCCATTTGACAAAAAAAAAAATTTAGAACAAAAGTTGAACGGTACAGGGTGTACAGTAGGTGTCAATAAAAGAAATTTCGAAAACTGTATGTTTTCATAGCTAAATCAAGGTCACTTTGGATTAAACAAATAGGAACACATAATTTTTTTTATTATAGAGAACATCGAGACGAATTCAAAACACATATTATTTTTATTAACATGTTTTACCCACTTCATTTACAGTGGAAATGTAAGTGGGTAAAAAATCGTGCGTCGCGTTACAGATATATGTTTGTTCTTGTCGCACGCTGTTGCTCTCTTTGTCTATCGCCTATATGTCTGTTTTTGTCGCACGCTGTTGCTCTCTTTGTCTATCGCCTATATGTCTGTTTTTGTCGCACGCTAGTGCCCTCCTTGTCTAATGATGCTAGACAAAGAAAGCGACAGTGTGCGAGAAGGATATCCTTCGATCTATTGAAAAAAAAGTTGAACTTTTACACATAAGTTTTTCTAGGCCAAAACAAACATGGAATGAAATCGGGGAGCCTAATTTTAAGGAAACATATAAAAAAGTTTGCAAATTATTCCTCTTAATTAGGTTTTTTTCGTAATTAGTGCGAACTGTCACAAAATGAGCATGGTGGCGCCATCTAGCGGTAACTCGCTGATACTAATTATTTATAAAAATACTTATTTTTGCATTTTACGGATCAAATGAGGTATAAAAAGAAAGCTAAGGGTCTAATTAGGGTAATACAATCGCCAATGTTCACAATTCATTTCGCTAAATTAGGTTTTTTCGCAAATAAAAATTTTTCTGTTTTACGGGGTAAGAAACACTAGCGTCGCGTTGTGGCAGACCGGTGGAACTAAACGTTCTGATCATATAAGGAGAATAATTAGTTTCAATTTTTCACGCCACAAATTTGCACTCCACGAGGATATATTTCAAAGATAATACTATCAATTACGTTCGCAAATAAATCTGAATCAAATATTCACTATAGTTTCCGAGAAATTATGCACTCACTACTGGCATTACTACTAACGTAAACGAAATTGAAACATTCTTTACATACGTAAACTATACTTAAACAAAACAGAACGTAAGCTAAGGGTCTCCAAAACTGAAGACGCAACTTGTGTGTAAAAAGTTGAACTTTTTCTCAATAGATCGAAGGTTGTCCTTCTCGCACACTGTTGCTTTCCTTGTCTAGCATCATTAGACAAGGAGGGCACTAGCGTGCGTCGCGTTACAGGTAACACACTGTATGTTTATGATACTGTGACGTTTATGATAATTATTTACCTTCCCCAGAATTATTTTTATATTTCTATTTTATTTTTCTTATTGAATATTATATGATTTGTACATCGACTTTCGATACTATCGAAATCGAACTTGAGCGCTACAAGCGTTACGGAAGTCACTTTCCTTTAGCCTACTTGCATTGGTTGTGTTAGGTGAGATTCTTTGTTGGTTCAATTTAGAGGTATTTTTATTTGAAAAACTTATCGTTTTTGAAAAAATAATATTGTAAATATATAAAGTAAATATATTGGAATAAGTTGTACTGAAACTATTTTGCTATTATTTATTTAACATTAAGATGTTGATAGCTGAAGTTTATGTCATGAGATTCGTGTATACTTCTTAACCTCTGTCAAGACATAACCTGAACAAAATCCAAATTTGTATAAAATCATTTTTTAAAATCTTAGACAATTAAATTTTACAACGTTATAACACTGTAACTGTATGTGTTTCTAAAAATAAATAATATTTCATATAGAAATGCCGCCGAAACGAGGAAAGGTACAAAAAGAAGAGGTTCAAGTATCTCTTGGACCACAGCTCCGTGAAGGTGAAGTTGTTTTCGGTGTTGCCCATATTTTTGCAAGTTTCAACGATACATTTGTTCATGTAACCGATCTTTCCGGAAGGTATGTTGTAAAAATGAAAATTTTTACAAACTTTCGAGTAGTGGTCGAACGTTTCGTACTTAGAAATTGTTTTAAATATTTTGCACAGAGAAACTATCGCACGTGTTACTGGTGGAATGAAAGTCAAAGCAGATCGTGATGAAGCCTCTCCATATGCTGCTATGCTCGCTGCTCAGGTAAACAAAATTACCATATTTACTTCAGATATATCCACATTAAGGCAGCTCCTAGATAGTATTATTTAATCATAGGAGCGTTCATGTATGTGGTAAATCAAATTTCTTTCTAGTATGGAAGTGTGCTTTCATGAATCACTTCTTTGCTTGGGAGAATACATTTTCTACAGAAAGTTATGTATAATTATTTGTAATAAATTTTAACATTGTAAAATTAACAACATTTTTGTTATTGTTTATACAGGATGTAGCAGAAAAATGCAAATCCCTTGGAATTACAGCACTTCACATTAAATTGAGAGCAACTGGAGGTAACAAAACAAAAACCCCAGGACCAGGTGCACAATCAGCTTTGCGCGCACTTGCACGTTCTAGTATGAAAATTGGTCGGATTGAAGATGTCACACCTATTCCATCTGACTCTACACGTAGAAAGGGTGGTCGCCGCGGAAGAAGGTTATAAATCATGTTTCTATGTGTGGTTTATTAACTTTCAAAAATAAAATCTTTTAAAAAATGCTGTTATGTTTTTATATTTTCCTTATCTATACAAATAATAGTAAAATTCTACGTAATATTAATTGATATCAAATACAGTGCATACACATTATCTTTTATACATTTTTTTATGAATTCATGGTATAAAGAATTCCTGAAATTTCTTAGATTTAAATATTAAAAGAAGTTATACATTTATTATTAAAAAGTTGTGATAAATTAACATTTAAATAATAAATAATACATATTATATATGTGCAGTTTGAGTCAATTATAGAAGTTAATATTATTATTTATATGACATAATAATAAACATTAAGCACTTCCAACAATATTGCCTATAGTAAGATAAAGTTTAACTTTGAGATCTAGTTTTTGAGGTGCTTTATGTTCCAGTGTAGTAATTGTATTCACATATCTATACTGCATAACAAAACCGATTACAACTGGTTGATTGTTGTTCTCTTCTATATTTTCATGTGGAGTTACATGCAATTTTATTACGGCTTTGTTACCTTTTCGCCAAATCACGAACCTTTAACGAAACAGAAAATTAGATTGTCAACTTATAAAAAAAAAAAAAAATATCTTAAGTAAAATATTGAGAAATAAAAGTATATACTTAGGATCATCTTGAAAATTATGTGTATCGCCGGTATCGTCATACTCAGCAGCATCGTCTCTACGCGGTAGAATAAGACAATTTTGAGGAAGAACTACATCTGCATTTGCAGTGATTTTGATAGGTTTTGTTTCCTCTACCACAGGCACTTGTCGTACGATAGAAGGTAATAAATTTGGAGATTCAGATCCCTAAAATTGTTGCAACGTTATAATTTAGAACAGTATAATTTGGAAAACAGCAAGCATTTACCTGTTGTGCATTATCCTGTTTAACTTCTTCCTTTTCATCTACGAGTGTTAAAATAGGCGTCATTGGTGTATCCAATGGTAACAATACCACCTGAGTTTGATGTTGAGTTGGATTGCAAAACTTTAAAAGCAATTCGCTTGATTTACCTGGACGAAGTGGTTCGCACGTAACAATCCTCACTTCCGGTACGTGATAACTATTAAAATAACATATTAATATCGAGAAAAACGAAATGATAAATGTCAACTTACAATGCAGCAAGCTGGATCTTAAACTTTGCAGACTGTGAACAAAAATCTGGTTTACAAAGATTATGTTCGCAAACTCGACATCGTTGCGATCTCCTAACTAACAACTGTCTATGTTGGGGACGCAATTCATTTACATTTTCTGTTTGTACATCCGGTTGTTGTAATCGCTGTTCCAACGTAGTAACTGTGTTTAAAAATTGTATTTTTCAGTCTTTCAAGTCTAACAAAATTTATTTTGATTATTTTCTAATATATAAGTGAACGCTTACTCTTAGTTATTTCTACTGGCTTTGTAAAAATATCCGTCGGCAATTCTTCTACCTCTGTACTAGCAACAGCTGGAGACGGTTGGTCAGTTGATTCATTAGTAGGTTTTGCAGGGTGTCCTATATGTTTACGAACCATAGCAGATGTTATCCTAAACATGGCCTGAAATGAAAACAAATATAATATCTGTTGTACAAGTCGAAGGATGCTTTCTAAAATGAATAACTTTATAAACAATTACAATCTGCATGTAAGGATGTTTTGGTCGAAATTTTTTCCTCTCAGATTGCTGTTTTTCTATAGAAGCTAATATTTTATGATAATCAATCAAGGTATTGATCCTGCTTGTGTGAGGATTTTCCTGTTCAGGCCAGCCTCCAGTAGCTGATTATAACATAATATAGTAATTACTTCGTTATTAAGAAATATTTTAACATAACAAGGTAGTGACACAATAAATATAAACGTATGACTTTTGAGTAAACATACCCATAGACTGATCAGGAATACCAGCATCCCTTGAAGTCCATCGACATAACGAACAAGATAAATAATAAACTTTCTTTGGTGTTGTTTTAACATCTTTAGAATCTTCGCCATCAGCAGGTACTACTCTTAAAGGTACATGACCAGCTCTTGTTGATAACGTTTGAAAGCAACATGGACATTTGAAACAATTCGAACATCTATCAACATATTCATGAAACACTATAGATTACAACTGATTGTATGTTCAAGTGTTTAAAACACTTACTTGTTCTTTTTAAGGCGAACTTCTGACGATGGTAAATTTTCCATACAATTGGGGCAATAATGTGAATCAACCTATTAACAAAAATGAAGATTTTACTTCATTTCTTCTTTAAACGATAGATAATTTACATTTTTTAAAAAACGATTATTATACAATACTTATATGTAGTACATAATTAAGTAATATTTATAGAGAAGTTAAAAATGAATACCTCTTGACAAACACAATATCCGCAACGAATCTTCGAGCAGTGCCTACAGAAATAAATCTTCGAGATCGGCTTTAAAGAGCCACAATTGCATACATAACACACATAATCGGGTTGATTTAAATACGACATGATTGAACGTTTTGATATTATCTAGAAAACGAAAACTACAGTTCTATTTGTCATGAAATGACAATTCCTTCAACCTAAATTTTGTCTTTGATTCGGGCCATCTTTGATCGTGTATATTAAGTATAGTAAACTGTTGAATTGGGATAAAAAGAAATCCCTGTGAATAAAATTTTAAATAATTCTTATTTTTAAAATATTCTGCTGGTTTATTACCTTACAATTTTACAAATATTTTGTTCTCTGCTATCGATTAATATTTTGAGACGCGCAATGAATTAAATGCTAAATGATAAAAATCTTTGAAGTATAAAATAACTAGTTCTTAAAAGTAGATAGCAGTAGAGTAGTTTTATAGTTGATTTTAAGATCAAGTTAATGAGTAATAATACTGAACGCATGACAAACTTAGAATGAACGTGAATATCGATATTCATTTTATATAAAATAATTATTTTTCAAATGAATTGTTAACGCATGTTAAAACATACATTTTTTTAACTTTAATTCTCTTTAGCACAGTAAATCATGTTTTCGCAGAAATTCTTGCAGAACAATAAAATTTCAAGTTTAAAGTGCAGTAATATAATAAAAAGATATCTGAAAGAAGCAATTACACTTCCTCCACTTTCTCAAGAAACGAAATTGGCAGTACTCCGAAAGCAAAAACCTGAGAGAAAATCTTTTTTAAGAGCTTTAATTCTAGGAGAAGTTGATAGTGAGACTTTTACTTACCCAGAACTAGCATCTCCTAGATATGAAGATTATTGCAAATGGATAAATCCTATCGAAAATTACGTGTCAAACTGTGTTAATAAAAAGATAGATAAAAGAGAGATATTGGACAACATTAGAGAACTTGAAGTATTTAAAATACATATTGACGACAAATATTTTGGTTTAACTTTGTCAAACACAGAAACATTGCAACTGGTAGAGATACTTAGTAACTTGCCTTGGTTGGGCACTTATGTACTGAAGAATCATATTATACCAGTCGAAATAATTAATAAGTATGGATCAGAAAGTCAAAAGCTTGAATATTTGCCAAGGATTATAAGTGGTGACATAATTCCTACAATGTGTATATATGAAGGCAGCTATGGAACAAATGTTAATAGTATTAAAACCCTCATGATGCGACAGACAACAGATTCGTGGGTATTAAGTGGTGAAAAAGAATTTGTTGTTAATGGGATAAATTCAAATCTGTTTTTAGTCTTTGCAAAATGTGTAGCACCAACAGGAAAAATTAAACCAGATTTATTCTCTTTATTGTTAGTCGAACGAGATTTTGGAAACATAAGTTGTACAAACGTGTGTGATACGATCGGTAGACATGAAACACCTACCTGTACAATTAAATTTGAAGATACAGTAGTACCTCATAAAAACATTATAGGTCAACCTGGTGGTGCTTTGGACATATTAATGGAATACTTGAAACCTGGACGACAACATATAACTGGTCAAGCAATTAGTATTTTAAGAAACTTTTTAAATCTAATAATACCAGAGATTATACAAATGAAACATTTTGATAGAGATTTGTATGCGTTTGATGTAGTAAAAAAAATCTTAGGTGAAATTACATTTTCTTTGTATACTATGGAAAGTATGGCATATCTTACAACTGGAATGATAGATCAATATGAAAATATGAATGCTGATCTAGAACAAATTATTACCGAAACATATTGTGCAAACAAGTGTTTGGAATGTGTTCAAGCAGGGTTACAATTAGTAGGTGCAAAAAGTTACATGAATAATAAATCATATATAGATGCACTTCATGATGCCATGGCTTTAACAACAATGGATATAAATAATTTGGATTCCATTACATATGTAGCATCAAGTGTTTTACAACTTTTAGGAAACAAAGTAACTGACCATGTTCATAAGAAAAGAAATATATTTCAATATCCTATATATAATGTGATAGATAAGATGATTGATAAATATGCAATAAAATTGGATGCTAATGAGTATGTGCATCCATCATTCGCTATAACTCTGAATTATTTGGAAAGCAATATAAACAGATTTAAAGATAGTATTTTATTATTATTTGAAACCAGAGGATCAGCAATTATGGAACAATACTCAGATATGCTGAGGATAACATTAATGTTAACAGAAATATATGCAATATTTGCTAATATAATACGTGCATCAAGATCATATTCCATTGGTGCTAGAAATTCAGATCTTGAAAAAGATTTAGTAACTCAAATGACATATGTATCACATACTAAAGTATGGTTACTTAAACAAGAAATAGACTCCACTAAGGCATTTAATGGTGATAATTGTTATACAAGTGCAGTGGATCTTGCATATGGACATCATAAATATCCTTTAGCACATCCTTTAACCAAAACATTTTAAATATTTAATTAACATATTTTTTGTGATAATATAATTTGTTAGTAATATGGATTGTAAAAAGTATAAATTAATTTTTCAATTTTTAAATAATGTATAAATAAGTAAACGTATTTTGATTAACGATTATGTATTTATGTGCAAGTAGCAGTGTATAATATTTCTTAGACTACATTAAATTTAAAAGCAAAATAATGTCTCTTTTTCGTAACCCTAACGCAACATTTTAAAGAGGTATTTTCAATGAATCTTACATTATAGGAATTAGAATTTTATTTTTATACACCATTACTACGAATTCTAATATATACGCAAAAAGGTGGACGGTATTCTTCTACGAAAAAATGCAACTATAAGTTCTAAAATTGGAAGTTCGAAATTCTATTAAATTTATTTTAATCGTAGTATCACTATAATTTTTCTGCTTGAACAATAACATGTTCTTCTCTGTATAAATCCAGTGGAGACCAGCAACTTCTTACACAAGTATATATTAAAACAGTTCCAAATTCAATTTGAAAATCTTTTTCAACTCGTGGTTGTAATATTAATTTAGAAATCAATGTAGGCAAAATTTGGACTTCAAATGTCATTTCACCTCCACAATGTCGGCATTTCCCAATGCATTCACTGATAGGATATAAGAATAACGGCGCAGAGTTATCTCGGGAATACCTGAAATATAAAGTACACGAAATTTAATTTCGATGTAAAATTTAATTAACATTTATTTAACATCATTCATTTTTTTTTTTTAACCGTAAAAGTTGGCCAGGATTCTTCTGTATTTGAGATATGAAATTATGAAACATTTCATCTCCATGCATTGGAATGCCTTTCTCATATTTTTCTGAATCTGTCTCTATAGTTTTAGCCTCGTCTATGTCTGCCCCAGACTTCGACGATAAATCTGGATTTCTATATTGATATTCCAAGAGTAAATCACGTACATGTTGTGGCACATCTAGACTGTAATCTTCCTCTTCGACGGAAAGAAATATTTCAGCAAATGACAGTTTTGTATCGGCATTTGATTCTACTTGAATAGGAAATGGAGTTACTTCTTGCAATAAACTAATTAAATCACATTGAGGCTGTATTGGTGTATCAATACAAACAACTTCACTCTCTTCTCCATCAATTTCAGCAGATGCTTGAGGAGAATCTAATCTACCTACTGCACCTACACCAACTGGAGATTCTATGCTTGCTGGACTAAAATAAATCATGTTTATTTCAAAACAGGTTGATTTTCAACTTTTATTTATTTAATACATACCTGTTTGCATTAGGATCATCGACGTGTAATGCAGAGAATTCTTCTTTTATATTTTCATCTATATCCTTTTGCAAGGAGAAGTGAAAATCTGTTAGATTATTTGGCAATAAATTATTTCCATTTTGTTCAGAATTGTCATTTATGCTATCACCCCAGTCATCTGCATCTGACAACCATGACGTTGTAGATGGTACTACTATGTTACTACTATCTAAAGCATTCGGCTTGCATTCATCTTCTGACACTTGAACTCTCAAGCAAGTCCAACTCTCATTTTGATTCCAACAGTTTGGATTTATACATGTAAAAATATAAAGCGTTCGATGATATTTGGAGTTATCTAATGGAACATACAACTGAAGAGCCAGTAGCTGGTACAGTCTGCACAGTCTACACTGTGGTAATGACAGTACATTTTTTTCATAACAGTTCTATAAATAAAAACATGTTTAATTCAATTTATACAAACGATGCGTAATACAATTTATTGAATTGAGAATTAATTCAAAAATAATTAATATCAAATTGTTTATCGATTTATATCGCGCTGTGTACTAAAAAGTAATTAGAAAAAATTCAAAAGACTCGGAAGATTTGATTAAAACTCTGAAAACCAAAGAAAATACTTAGAATCTGCTCTAAAAAAGCAAGAAGACTTACTGGAAATCCGCCGATCTTATTTGTCATAAAATTAATGTTTGCTCGATGTTTGTCAGTGACATATTCGTCTTCGTATCCCAAGTATACCTTAGTCCGGTTATCACAAGCCATTAAGTTTGATTAAAATTATATTTCTTCATTGGAAGACTTCGTAATATAGAATAGAGAATATTTTAATTCTCAATTTGTAGTTGCATTTGACGGTGGACAGCTGACATGTATCAGTATTGGTTCACGCGTGCGCTTTTAACAGTATTCTATGGCTCTTATCGATTTTTGAATACTTGATGTATAAGTAAACATTACGTAAAAAAGCTATATTTTATTTCTAGTCTGTGCTCTAATACGTCGTACGATGATATCACAGACTATTATAATGAAAGAAACATTCATCCTGGTTACTCATATAATCAAAGCGGCATAACCAACCGGTCAAACGTGCAATTTCAACTTATCATTTGTAGATTGCATCTTGCGCTCGATAATCATTGTAACCAATAACAACTCTTCCATTTTGAAACGATAAAATCCCTAGGAATGTAACTTTTTAACATCAAGTCAAACGCACATCGAAACCTGTTGTAGATAAAAAATATAACGACAATATACAGGAAAAATGAAAACGGAAGCATGAAGTATGAAATTTATTTTTTTTCTCAGACTAAATAAATCGCAACGTTCACATTATACAAAACTGTGTATTTTGAACGTAATGAAATCGTCGTTCATGAAGGTATCGCCGTAAGTTCACAACGAAGAAGGGCGAAGAAAAGTACGATGCTGCGATGAGAATTGTGCTTTAGACCACCAAACACGTCAGGATTGGTTGTAATTTGCGTTGCGCGTGATGTTTTTATACACAGCCGCAGCTATTGCTCGAAAAAATTAACGACAAACGTGCGTGACAAGCGTGTCTCGTTTCTTGAAGTCGTCCCCTCGAGAGAAGCTCGGCCGAGACGTCGAAAACGCCGGAAAGATAAATTTAAATTGGACAACGAATATAGCGAACGAGAACTATTGGTTGGGATGTCCGATTTTAGTTTGTGACGTCATGCGCAAAACAGTTCATTCCTCATTCCCTCCGTATATCTATCCAGCTGTCCGTGGTTTGGCAGTCCGGTGAACGATATTTCTCAGGGTGATTGCTACGTAGGTTTCATGTTGGTGGCCTTTAGTACGAGCGACGAGTGGCAATTCAAGGTGTTAGAGTATTGATAGACGATCGAGTGCTAATCGGAAACCTGTTAGGTAGAACTAATTTTGAACAACCTATAACGGTATTGTACGATAGGGTGGCCTTCGGACTGACAAAAGGTAAAGACGTACGCAGCAGAAACAACTGGCGTTTTTTTCGCGTGTGTGACAAGGTTGTACGAAGTAACTGTCGTCGTGCAGCAGGACTGTTCGTTTCTTTTTATCGGGCAACCAGCGTCAACGTGAACAATCGTTACGTTCCGGGATTTATTTGCATCAACGATTTGGGAGCGACGAGCCCATTTGTGAGGGATGTCTACCCCCGCAAGAAGGAGACTAATGAGAGACTTTAAGAGGTATCGTCATTGCCCAAGATCACTATGTCATCGTCTTTCGTGTCACGCATCGCCATTGTAAATCATGTTTATACTTCTATTTTGCCACTTTCTACATGTATACGTCAGATCATTGAACAATTTTTCTCAGTACTCCTCAGGTTACACGACACGTTTGAACGTCATTGTGTGCCTCACTAAGTTATTATTAGGAATTTATAATCATTTATTACGCTTCATTCTTATACATCGACCGTGATCTGCTCGCAATCGATTGATAAACTAGAGAATTCGTTTACCTCGTTTATCTGACGAATATTTGAGGAATTACGCACCATTGAGTCGACGACTACGGTTGTTTATATTGTCACGTTTTTCTCTTCGATTCTCGCAAATATGTTCGTCTGATGCGTGGCAGTCTCTTTTTCTAAATTTACATCATTCACGGATCTATTGTTTTGTAGACGAAATAACAATCTAGGTAGATAGTAAATCGTGTTTCGAAATTGCATTTTGATTGTTTTCGTGCGATTCTTGTTATTTGTTTCTTTTAGTTCTTTTTCAGTTCTTTTTTTTTTATTCGTTTTCAAAAATAGCAAAGAACATGAATATATATGTGTGTATATATATATATATATATATATATGAAGTATTAGAAATTTTTTTATCATATATATGTGGTACATTGTTAACAATTGTTTTATATAAAAAGGCATTGGCATGACATTGAGACCTATAAAAAAAGTCTAAATTTATACTCTTTGTATCAAACAACTTACTGAATAAAGTCTTATTAAAGTTCTATCAAAAATAACTTTTACCTTAGTGTTTTAGAGTCTTTGTTTTTTTAGCATGCAAGACCATTGTTTTTAAATCTTTGCATACTTTGATGTGTTATGTAGTAACTTAATATTTTTGTGGAATAGATTACAAGAAGACCCACCTACTGGAGTATCTGGAGCACCTACAGACAATAATATTATGATATGGAATGCAGTTATATTTGGGTAAGAGTATACATAGGAATACTTTTCAAGATAGCAATATAAATTTATAGTATATTACAATAATATATATCGTTTATTATATTATATTTCCAGACCACATGATACTCCATTTGAAGATGGTACTTTCAAACTTACAATAGAATTTACAGAAGAATATCCAAACAAACCACCTACAGTGAGATTTATTAGTAAGATGTTCCACCCCAATGTGTATGCTGATGGAGGCATCTGTTTGGACATATTACAGAATCGTTGGAGCCCTACTTACGATGTATCTGCTATTCTAACATCTATACAGGTATTGAAAATATCTAGTGACCTATATCAGTTTATAACTTAGTATATCACAAACATGTGCAGTAATATTTTTAATTTCATATGTATTCTGTTCATTCTCATTAATTCATATATTATCATGAAAACATATATTGCATGTTGAATTTCAAATAATACAATGATAATGAGACAAAAGCAAAGGAGGACATTTGTTTTGATAATTAACTAAGAAATATTAGTTTGAGACTTTTTTCTTTTATACACTTTATTTCTATAATGTGAAATTAAGTTTCTATACGGAAACTGCAAATATGTTTTGCATGGCATTTACTAAATGTTTAGGATATTTTAAACAATTAAATGCTTACTGCGTTATATTTTCTGTTAAGAAAGTTAAGCTCTTTTTTTTTTTGCTCTTTTGTTTTATAGAAAATATATCAATGCCTGCTAAAGTTTCATATACCTAATCTGCCTTTTTTTCTGTCAATTTTTATATAAAAACTCGAGAGATTCGTAAGTTTTTGTCTTAACAGCGGTTGCAATTCAGCAAAGTCTGATTCATTCAATTGAAAGTTGTTTGCATATAACGTTAGTATAAAATTTATGCTTATAATTTGTTTAACTTACCACAAGTGTACTTCTAATCACCAATACCAAATAAGAATATCATCTACTTATAATATAGCCATGCATCATTAAAAAAAAATTTCGCGTAATGAGTATGACTTGTGTGGTTGCAGTCGCTGTTAAGTGACCCGAACCCGAATTCGCCTGCCAACTCAATGGCAGCACAACTGTACAAAGAGAATCGACGTGAATACGAGAAGCGAGTGAAGGCTTGTGTGGAGCAGAGTTTTACGGATTAGTCGCAGGCGTTTCCACAATGCTGTTGCAGCATCACTCAGCCATTTACAGCTATTAAATACAGTGGAGAACGTGCAGCCTTATCAAGAAGCTAACGCTAAATATTAGCATGTTTCTTCCTAAAGCTCTATTGAACTACCACAATGTGCAACATTAGACCGAATTTTTACAATGTTGAATAATAAATTATTATAAAATTGTGTATTTATTTATTTCGAAGTTTGATAACAGATCGATTATTTCAATATTTGATTGAAATTATTAAGTAATATTAAAAACAGTAGAAGATAATTAATATTTGGCGGTTTCTGTTTCTGTGCTACAAAGCAATGTCTTTCACAAGTATAGAATTATATTTCGATTAAATTGCAGTACTTCATATAGTACATAAATTCACTTAAACATATATACACATATATAAGTGTTTGTGTGTGTGTGTGTGTGCGTGTATACATAAACGCGCGCGCACACACACACACATATACAACATACATAATAAATACATAACTTTACTTTATAATTTTATGGTTTTCTTTAAATTTTTGTGCTGTTTATGTTTAGAATAAACTTATGTTATATCATAACAAGGTCTATAAAATATTTGTTACAGTCCCTTTTGGATGAACCAAATCCAAATTCTCCAGCAAATTCATTAGCTGCGCAATTATACCAAGAAAATAAGCGGGAATATGAGAAGAGAGTGGCTACTGTTGTTGAACAATCTTGGTTGAATTTCCAAGAAAGTCACACAGAAGATGCCCGCTGACATTAAGTATGGTTCATTCACTGTTTTTCATGACGTTTATTCTTTTTTAATTTTTTAGAAATTTATGGTCTGAAATATTCTTTCTGTATTACTGAAACATTAAATCACACAACATTAAATCCTCCACTGTTCTACAGAACTTTTCTTATACATTCGATTTAGAAGTGCTATCTAGTTTTATAATATAGATATTATAAATAAAGAAAAATTTATTTAATACTTATTATGTTTGAGATATAAAAAATGTAGAGCATTGGAGTGATATTAAAATGTATTATGTATCATGTGATCTTTATCTGTAAACATTAATAAAATGTGTATTTCATTTTGCTCATTATGATTAGGCTTTAGGAACCCTACACAAAAAAATTATAAAAATAAAAAAATTATGTATAATTACCAGTTTTGTAAAATTAATTTACATTGTAACTAACAACTACATACGTAAATATAAGATCTTCGTAAAATAATTTCGAATAAATTACTAATATATCCTAAGAAAACTGGAAAATAATTTTTGTTTCAACTACGGCTACAATGTATAAATAATATAGTATAGTGTTAAAATCGATAATCAATTTAAATGATAATTATTAATAATTACTTGTAATTTCCTAATAAAGTTGAAACATTATTCATAACAAGTTGCATTAGTTTCCTGCTACCAGAGGGAAAGGTAAAAAGGATTTAAAACAGTTATCATAATAAAAATTATTAAATTTAATAAAAATATTCAAATTGTTTTTTTATAAACATGTTCAATAAAAAAAATTTCTTCTATAGTTATATGACACATATATAAATTGTTTTTACAAAACAATGTGCTTTGAGTTTTATTCAGCTATGAAAAAATTATAGCTTATCAAATATATTACATTGTATATTAACAATTCACATTCTAAAAATACAGTAGTGATATATACAAAGTAAATTATGATTAACAAAGAAAATTATATATAAAATGATATATATAACTCTTGTCTTACTGACTTGTATATGTAAATTTATAAAATTCATAATGACCATAAAAAATTTATGCTTTTTAAATAATATAACAGAAGTTTATAAATTCTATATAATTAATATATTTCGAATTAATGGTCACGTGATCAAGAATTTTATCATAATATGAACTAATTAAAAAAGATATCAATCTTAATTTGTTTTATTTATGATACAATTAATTTATATTACAAAAATTATTCTGTATCTTTTAATACTGCTATTGTAATTTGATTATAAAATATATATTTTAGACATTTACTATGGATGTATAGTAGTATTTATATATTATACGTATGTTGTTTAAAATATGTAAGGGCCCACCATATTTTCCCATATTGAATAAGTATAAAGCAATTTTAAAACATTTTACAGCACTCAAAATATCTATTTTACTCTAATTATTTACTGTTATCACAATATTTACAATAATGAATATTATACAAATATAATTCATTTATTATAGTCAATTATATGATAATTTACACACGCATGTTTATACAACAGTACATTTAATTTCATATATTTTTTTTCATGAACCTATTATCATTCATTTCATCAGTTATAAATCATTCTGTTTAATAATACGTTAAAAAGTACTTAATACTATAATCTACATCTTGAAAGCTGTCTTTAGTTTGAATTAAGTCTTCCAAAATATTTAAATTGTTCACCAACCTTCTCTTGCTACGATTTTTCCTCTTTTTCTTTATTATACCTTTCTAATTCTTTTAAAAATTGTGCTTTAGGTTTCATTACATTTGGCCTGTCTCCTCTACATTTAGGACAAAACCATTTCCCTTTTGGCTTAGTACTCAATGAAACACATGAGAAATGGAACCATTCTATAGGGCACAGATCATTGTCACATAATATCATTTCACCATACGATATTTGATCACAGAGACAATATGTTGGTTCATCTGGATCAATTGCAAGATCATCTTCTGGTGGTGGCGGAGTATCTTCACGATGCTGATTTTGCTGATTACCTTGCCTAGATTTCCTCTTTTTCTTTTTACCTGTATTGGCGGTAGTCGTTTTCTTTTGATTACCATTGCTCGCATTTGACAAAGAATTAGAACGTGTCTCTGTCATAACAATCATGTCCATGGTATTCGAAGACTCGACTATCGTCTCTGTCCTTGTTCTTCTAGCTCTTTTTGGTTGTCTCTCTGAGTTGTTTGCATTACCAGAAGAATTGGAATTTACATTAGCATTTGTCTCACGGACCGATTCACTGCTTTCTTGTTCCTTTCCAAAATCTATAAACATTTTAAAATGTAAAAGATTAATATATATTTACTTTCAGAAAAAATCTACACAATAAATAGAAAGTTACCAAGATTACGATAATCCAAATCTAATTGCCTAGATTTATTTTCAATAAGATCTTGAACTTGTTGAACTATTTGTAATTTTTCATCTCCTATTTCTTGCGCTGCAATTAGGGCTTGTTGAACTCTTAAAAGTGCTCTTCTCTTAATTGTTAGATCTGTATCATTTCTTAATGCTTCTTGTTGCTGGTCTACTTCCCGTAGATATGCTAGATTTAAAAAAAAAAACCACATGAAACATCTTTTAATCCTTGAATAAAAGTGTAATAACATGAAATATATGTATGTATGAAAATAAAGTTGTTCTGTCCTGTCTTGAACAATGCAATACAGGAAAATGTAAAATAACAGATTCACATAGAAATTCAATGTTTACTTTATTCAGAAATATGTTTTTTATATCTGTCTTTTGTTGTTTTAATCACATTATCCCAAACACATTTATGTACGGTGTTATGCATTATATGCATTATATTTATGAATGTTTCAAATTATAAAAGTGAAACCTTTGCAATGAGAATGCGTCAGTGTGTACACTGTAGAAATTAATTAGAAATTGTTAATTTCAATTACTTTGACAAGTGGCGTCGAGTTCCCGGAGCCGGGAAACGTGCCTCTGCAAGTCGTTCGGCAGATTTTCCACACAGTCCAAATAATTTTCAATATACGTTGCGGAATATAACGCTTCGACAACAGCTTGATTTAACATCTTCGCTCTCTTGGCAAATTTCTCGGCAATCGAAAAATACAAAAACGATCTATTTGATGACAAACACGTGAATGTTCGATGTATTAGATTTTCGAGTTTGTCGCAGCATTTATACAGGTGTCTATTATCACTTATTTTATAATTACACGAATTGAGATCAATCAAATCGTACGAAACACAGGCAAATTGTTACGCGACACGACTCTTTTTTTTCGAACACTCTATCTGTATTTACGACAAGGATCAAACATGGCCGCCGGTTTCCAAGCGAGTCCCATAAGTTTTTTGTTCCAAAACACGACATAAAACCACCGTAAATATCACTTATTTCACTCGAAAAAAATTCCTACGAACATACTGCTCGATGAACAACAATCATACGTGACACGTTATAAAACACGTCCAAGCAGCAATCACTATAAAAAATTTACAAGATTGGAACCTCAGAAATTTCAGTTATAAAACTGAACGTTGTTTCAACAAAGACAATTAAAGGTTTTCACTGTTTCGTGATATTTAAAAATATTTTTTTTTCATACATAATACATTTAACAAGAGCCGTGGTTAGTGGTTATAAAGTTTGGTGATAAATCAACATCATTGAAGTTACTACTGACGTTATTCCATACTATATCAATAATTTTCTGGTTATATTTATCGCAGAAAAATATTTCCCAAAATATTATATTTTGTTTTGTGCACCGAGAAGACACTTTCATCGCAGATTGACTCTTTCGTGGCGAAGAATTTGTAATTTAGACGCTGATTTGACTAGCGATTCTGACGTCAAAATTCGCAGCGAGACCTACCAATCCCGTGTCACAACCCTATTTGATTTCGTTCGGTAGAAGAAAGAGTCGTGTTTGGGTTTCGTGTGCCGCAAAAACACAGTGACGATTGTTATCCGAGTAAATAATATCGGTCGGACGAAAGATCTTTCAGTATCAAGATGACATCGACAGGAACGTTCCAAGGGTTCAGCGATGAGAAGAAGAAGTCCAGCAAGTATGTGACACGCTTGTTATTTATGATTTATTATCTGTAGAAATATCGCTCACGAAAGTTGTATTGTCCTTTTGCCAGTAATGTATCGTTTATTTATTTTAACCCACGTCGAGGTGAAGTCACGATTTTCGTGATCGAAATTCATCCTTCATGTCAATAATTATCATCGAAAGTATCGACGAAAGGTTCGATCGTTTTTAACAGTCTGATTTTTATTATTATTCGATAGATTTTTTTTAAAATTATTCATACGTTCTTGGGGATTAACGTTTGAAGGAGACGGAGAGGATATCCGTTTGTTCGGTTAAATAATTGTCAAAGTAAATGAACGGCGTCTTGTTGGTTACTGACTTTTTTATTATGCACGGTGCGTCAGTTTGAACCGGTCATAACCGGACAATCCATGTATCTTTTTTCGTACTGGCAGCGTTTGGACGGAATTAAAATTTGGAACATATATTTATTTATCTAATTTATCATATACAGTTCGGAGAAAATTTCAATCAATTATTTGCATCGCATCAAACAAATGCGATGAAGCTACATACATGAAATATATATGTATGATGTGTGTTATCTGAAACCACATCCGTTGCATTTAATTCCAACATCTGTTATCTTTTCATTGCATTACTGTTCAGAATGTAATTGCGATCCTCGTCTTTTTTTTTCGAAATGTTATTAAGTATGACTTGAAAAGATTAAAGTGTTCAGTCTGTTTATTACATTGATGGACACATAACTTTCGATATCATTTTAATTGATTGCTGATGCGAGGATGTGCTCAATTATTTATAGACATAACGCGATATATGTGTTTTTAACTGTTGCATCCGATAATTACAGAGTCGGTAACTCGTTGAATGAAGCGTACTAGCGGTTGCTAAGATGTGGCAACAGATTGCGCTTGATGCATCATTTATGGTGCGAATTTCAAAAAGCTGCAATCTCTCGTTGTATTATCTTTCCTTTTTTTTTTTTTTTTTAATAAAAGAAGAACTATTTTATAATTTTTCAATGTAAATCTTGATAGAATTGATTTATCAGTATGATAAATATAATCGGTGATATCAGAATTGCCATATTAAATGTGGTCATTGGCACGTTTAGAGATTAATTACGATGATGCTAAATATTTGTACAGACTTGCGCTTTCTCACAGAGTACAATGAACATTATCATTTTCATTCTATTTGCTATATAATATTTATACAAAGTGCGACTCAGAGTCATAATTAAGAAAGTGATATAGCTTATGTAATCTTTTCTTATTATCTAAGGTCTTGAGTGAGTTTGTCTTAACGAGTATCGCATTTCAAGTCCGGCATTTTCAAGGAAAAAAATTAGCGGTTTACCGCGGGCATACGACTAAACATCGCAAGGCATGTTTCTAATAAAGGGGCGCCTGATTATCTAATAAAAAGCTAAAAAAAAAAATGTACACAGTGTACAATATGTACGAACACTGATCGTTTCCGAACGAAACGAAAGTGGATATTTTATGTTTATTAGAATGCACGGACTCTGCACGGACTCTGACTTTACTACGAACTTGTAATAATGCCTACGATGTAAAGCATAGACAGATTAAAATTACCGGATGTCCGGTAATGATAATAGCAGAAAACGACAAGCGCTTAAGTTTTCTTTCCTGTACTCGTAAGGAGTGTTTTTTTCTTTTTTTTTTTTTTTTAGAAGTTATTTCTTTCCAAATACAATTACTCTGTGAACACTGGTTTTTCTTTTGTCATAAACATTTTCTCAGAACGCATGCGAATAATACGCAGACTTTTGAAGTATGCACGAGTCACGCTGTTTCAGGCTGACTCATACCGGTCGTATAGTTCTTAGCGTGCCGCATAGAGGCGTGTACATTTAGGCTCGAAGCTTCATAATTGCACGTATACGATATTATTGTACCCACCCTTTGTCCTACCTCTGTCTGTTTCTGTCTTTTCTCGTATCTTCGCAACGTTCGCTTTTATATCCCCTCGCATAATACGCAGATAGTACGGAGAACGAGATAGGAGGAGGGAAGGATTCTCAGAATCGCACGATTACCAGGAATGTTTATTTCTACCTTCTGCCAATTTCGTTTCGTCATTTCTAACGTTCTAACGTTTTAGTTTTAGTATTTATGTAATTACGAGATAGGTCGTTAGTAGATTGATTTCATCGTAAAATATACAATCTCGATATTAGATTTAAAAACGATCGAAGCGCCAATCAGTTCAACCTCTTGCGGTAGTAACTGGTTCACGGACCATAACGAGTGACCAAACCGTATACAATAATCCGTCTTCTTTTTGAATTCATTGGTATATCAGTGGATAGAAATTACTAAGAAGTAATAAATTGTTATAATAGTTTTGCCTGGGTTATATTTCAATATACCCTGAAACTGAGAAAATATTGCAATTTTGGGCCAAATATTCTCGACGCGTGTGGCACGTTATTCCAACGCAAGAGGTTAAAATGGGGACGGATATCGGAAAGTTTGAGCGAACGGCAGGAAACAAGCGAGACATCGAATCCAGTGTTCCCATTTACGGTCAAACGACGCAAGGTATTCTCGCGACGTGGAAAATCCGTGAGAAGGGCGATTTAAAGGATAAATATAACCACCGGTCGCCGGCTAGACCGAGGCAGATAGCCGAAGGGAGTTGTCTCTGTAGATCGGCGCGTCCGTGACTGTGTGCTTAAGGACATATGCTTCTCGAGACTACTGTCCCACGTAGTCTCGGCCAGGCGTTGAATAAACCGGCTTAAGGCCTCGTGCACACGTGCACACGAAGGATCACTTCTCCCTACGTACGTGTGTGTGTTGTGTACGCAAGTTGGCGGCTGCGACGCCGCGCGTTGTCGATCTCTCGGCCGTCAGTGGATTTCACGATTGTGCAGAACGCGGCACGCTTCCTTTCCTGCTTCTCGCGACTTTTTGGAGGTGGCGCCTCCTCGTGTAGCGTGCGTTAGTTTCCCCTCCGGTTTTCTGTTTGTCGGTCTTTCTCACTCGTGCCCGGTAGCGCGTGCACGCGACGAGGAAAGAAACGGAAGAGGAGCCCGAGAGCTGTTGGTATCGTGACCCAGCTTGATTGACCCACGTCGTAGACACGCTCGAACGTGCACAACCGGCACGAATCGTCGCGTCGTGACATCGAAACCGCGTGGTCGTGCGATATTCCATCGAGGTCCTCTAAACCAAGCTCGTTTTGTCCGTCAGGATTGAAGGGAAGAATGTGGGCTGGTCAAGATGATACGCAGCGTTTCAAAACCAGGTTTGTGCAACAAGTATTTATATCGACGAATTCTTGTCGATCGAAATCGAATTTTTTTCTCTTCTTACACGCTTTGACAAACCTCGTGCAAAACCTCGCGAATGTAAAACCTTTCTCTTCGTGTTCTCTTGCTCGATCGAGCGACAAGGTTCGACGACCTCTCCTCTCTATCCGACGATCAAAATTGCAGTTCCGTTGATGTGATAAAGTCGTTTAGATTGTCGCGGATTGAACGTGTTGGAATGGAGCGCGAATTGAACGGGTGGCGCGGTGTTACGTGTCTCCGCCTGTTGCTTTTCTCGCATGTTCTCTCTCTCTCTCTCTCTCTCTTTCTTTCTCTCGTTCTGCTTTACCGATCGGGATGCCCCTTCGAAATTCGTCTGCATCCTCGCAGTTGCATCCTCGTGTGGTAGTCCAACGGTTCATTCAGAACTATTATTCGGCACATCTGTCCGATGTTTTGTCCTCTAGGGTACGGATACCTGCTTCCACGACTTCCATCGACATATGTTCCGAACGTTTCGAATGGAACGAACCTTCGTCGTTTAATTTTTCGTGTCATGCTAACGCGGTGTTACGGTAATTTAATCGCATCGATTTCTTGTAATCTAATTATTTTCATTCGAGTCAGAAAATATATTTAGGCTCCCCTAGATAGTGCTGCCATATATAGAGGATTGTAGAAAACGAAAGTTTCAACTTTATTAAATTGTTTATTAGATAGAGGAGGAAAGAAATAAAACGATTCAAAAGAGATGAATTGATTCTTCTGAAATAAATTGTTTCGTATTGAAAAGCTTTGCTTTCTCAAAAATTTTTCACAAAAATTTTTACCCACAAGTTGCCTCGAGTTTCCTCAACTTGCCAAGTTTTCCTCACCTCTTCAACAATTTTTGTTACTCGTCGAGGCTTTTTCAATCTCAGCGTGTAGGATCGTGGCAAACGAGATTTCCTGACGGGACAAATTTCGATGTTAATCGGGCCGCGATTCAAGGAGAGCAGGAATTTCGAAGCCTGCAGTCTAGTTTCTATTTCTGCGAGACGTCCAAGTGAACAAGAACAGATCGGACGCACCGTTTCCAGACACGAAACAGTACAAAGGTTAATGCCAGTGTAATGAGAGCAACGAGTTACCGAGCAGACACACTTCCAGCCCCTCCCGACTCTTTGCAAGCTCGCGGAGTCACGCGAGACTCGCGTTCGGAATTTCAAATTTCAAAGAGGTATTTTCTGAAATTATTTTACGTATGCAGAAGAGAAAGAAAAATAAATAAAGGAAGCAATGGGGAACCACAATGTAAAGAGTTGTAATTTTTCCACGAATCCGCGAATCATCACGATAATACGCAGAGTGTATCTCTATTGCGTTGACAGGCTTGAATCAACAATAACTAATTAATTTTACTATTAATTAGTTATAATTGACTATTTATTATTATTAGTTATAATAAAATTATTAGTTATAATA